ATGTTTTTAGTTTAGATCCGTCTTCTGTGACCGCTGATTGTTGAGCATCATTTTTCCTCAGTCCTTGTTGAACATAGCGGCGTGTCACGTTGTTATCCTTTTTTTACTTTTTTTAATTTTATCGGTCTAAAAGGCCATCTAAAACAATTGGCTTCTTCACCACTGACTAATCGCAGATGACAGTTGCATGCTGGGACATGTAGGCGGTGTGAGAAAGCCACTCTCTGCGGGAGAACAATCATTTTTTTGTCACGCTGAACAGTGAAAAGTCCAGAAAAAGTAAAAGCACTGATAGGTCCACATGTTGGCTTCAGTCAGGGTATTATACTGGTTTGGAACTGCGTTAGCATTAGCCGACAAAGTTTTGTTCATCGTATGAAAAAGGAGTCAACGGATACCGCTGTCTTACAATGTCCTGTACCACGTTTGTGTACTTTTCTGCCACTCCAGACATCCTTATATATATATATATATAGTACCACCATTAATCTTTTAACACATTGTTTTCTATTTTTCCATGATCTTAAAGACAATTGAAGTTGCTAGCACTCCTAAAACTGGCGTCCACATATCTTAATAATGAAAAATATTTAGTTAATTAATGGTTAGTGTTAATCAATACTCACTATTATATTCATTTCCAAGAATTCATTTTTAAAATTATTTTTTAAGTCATAAATAATTTCATATAAACTTCTATGTCATCTGCAGACATTTTTCACTGACCTTATCTTTGACCCCTTGTCCTGCACCACCTTTCTGTACTTCCCTGCCACTCCCAGCATCACTCACACACTGTCACAGATGACCGTCTGACACCTCAGTATTCAGTATTCATTCTCTCCACCTACAGAGAAAATATACACACGCAATACTTCTGAAGTAAAAAAAAAAAAAAAACTGTAGTATTTTCTTTTGGAACACACATCCAGACGTGTACATAGTACTCCCAGCAGTAACCACTGGGAACCTAATGAACACTTACGGTTCGTAGAACTTAACTCAGTCCCCATCAACACTCTGGTTCAGCTGGTTCAGCCAGGAGACATGGACGGTCGCTCCTGTCTCCTGCACTAATGACAGTCTACCTCAGTGACACACAGCACAGCCTCAGCCACAGCAGGAGCGTAGCCTGCAGCCAGCCTCTTCTTCCCTCACAATGATGCCCCTAAACAACAGCCAAAAAAGTGACACGTCCTCCAGCAGGTGTGCAGACACCTGTGGGCGTCTCACGTCTCACTTGACAACTTGGAAATAGTCTCTGCGCGTCTTCTGTGGCAGCTGTGGCGAGAAAGAGTTTCTGCAGGAGAGAAGGTCCAGTTCTATTAACACTTGGTTCTGGTCCGTGCACTGAGTCTTGGCGTTCCTTCGGCTGAAATGCCTGCTGTGAAACTACTAGAATATTCTTTTGAACCGCAGTAAATCTGATTTTTTTATGTATATATTTGTATGTAGCACCACAAACATCTATATATATATATAACATCAATAATACACAGCAGCCCTGTGTGAGTGTGACGATCTAAATTTGGCTACGTTCCACGCCGACACCCCATGATCTGGATGTTCTGCATGGGTTTAGCCTGTTTAGATGTCCAGCTCTTGTCCTTGGCCTACTTTTGAGTCAGAGGCAAAAGCGTAGCGGCAAAAGAGTTTAGTCTTTAGGCACAGCGGCGCACCGGGATGGAGACTGCGTATTGGTGGGTGAGTGCTTTTGGGAAAATGAAGGAAAAAAAAAAACTTGGAAAGGATTAATACTACAGTGGATGTACTTTGAACGGACATGGATGAGTATTGAGGAAGGGTTTCTCTTCTTCTGGTGGAGCGTGGAACCATAGCGTATTTTTAACCGCATGTGTGTGAGTGTGTGTGGGCGTAGCAGAGGCGATGGAGTCTTTTTGTGCCTGATGACATCCAGACTCTTCCTCTCAGTTATTTGATCATCATCAGTATCACGCTGCTGCTGCTGCTGCTGCTGCTGCTGCTGCGGCTGTGATTACAGCTTTGCTCGTCGTTAGCGGCGGAACGTCCACTTAACTTAACGGCACAAGTTCCTGCAAAGGGCTGATGTGAACGCAGAGCTGCCGCCGCTGAGCGAGGAACGGGGTCAGCTGTGAGGAGTCAGACTCCTGTGAATGAGAAGAAAAGAAAAAAAAACCACAAATCAAATCAACGTTCATTTGTTTCTGACACGTAAACTGCCGACGTCGTCGTCACTAGGCTACGGCTAACGTGTTTCCACAAACACGTTTTACAGAGAGTGAGCAGCTCATTGTGAAAATACTGCGAAGCCTTTGTGCTGCTGCAGTTTGGTCCGGTGCCAAGAAAGTACCACAGATGCAGTTTCCCCCCCTCCCCCAAGAAAGTGCTGCTGGTGGAGGAGCACGGAACCGATGGAAAAAAGAAGTGCAGCGTGTCTTTGTGGATAAAGTCCATTCGATTATTTCAAAGGAAGTGGTTTAGGATGGATTAACGTGGTGAGCTGTGCACTCAGAGTGACAGATGGGTTCAAGTTGGGGATTGGGGTAAAGATTTTTAATGAGTTAATAAGTTGAGTTGTCGTTATGGTTTGTCAACCCCCCATGGTCTCTCATTGCAATTTTTTTCTGTTGGGTGTGTCGCGCCCATACCACTCCCCTCCACTAGATGGCACCCTTGGTTACAAGCTATTTGATCTAGCCTAAGTGCTGGTTCTGGTCTAGTTTATAGTATAGTTTTTATAAGTATAAGTTGTTTTTTTTTTCTTGAGGACGATGGATGTTTAGTTACAGGAGCTCTCCCTCCAGCAGATGGCGCCCTAGGCAACCGCCTATTTAGCCTTTGCATAGAGCTGGATCTGGAGGTAATTATAGTCATTTCCTCACATTGTGTTTTTCATTTTCTCCGAGGGTTAGAGCACCATTCCCTACCAGCAGATGGCGCTGTAGGTGACGGCCTGTGGACTCGGTTTCATGTGGAGAGAAACTGTATTTGTCTGTTGTTCTTTAGTCCTGTTTCTGTCTGTGGACGTGACTTTGTATGATGGCAGTGTCACAGTATTACAGTAGTACTTCACCAGTAGTCAGTAGTACTAGTAATGGTACTAGAAAGCGGTGGAGTTGAGCCGCAGCTCGGAGGAGTCTGAAACAAAGACTGAAGTATTTAATTACAGAGCGGGACATTTGTGGACGTAGAAGTGCGAGCGCCTTCTCAGCAGTGTCCATCTGTGGGACGCGGGCCATCTGTGGGTCTGAGCCTGTGTGTGTGTGTGTGTGAGAAATGAAAGCCTCTCTCTCTCCCTCCCTCCCTCTCTCTCTCTCTCTCTGAACCTGTGGTTCATCATTCACAACTGCTTCAATTGCTGCACCGCCGTCGAAGGGAAGTCTGAAGTGGAGGAGGAGGAGGAGGAGGAGGAGAGGAAGGGCTGAAGGTTCGCCTTTCAACAGTTACACCACAGATGATGCAGGGACAGTAAAGCACCCCCCCAAAAAACCCCCCCCTGACACTGGCCTGTAGTGGTACAGCCCACCCTCTTAAAGGCAGAGATGTTCTTTTTTTTTTTTTCCAAAAAGATCATTTTATTGAAGCGTGTGAACTCCTCAGTGTCAGATGTGATCCACTGATGTGATCCACAGATGTGATCCACAGATGTGGTCCACAGATGTGATCCACAGATGTGATCCACAGTCACTGGTACTGACAGTACAGATGGATGAACCTTAAAAATACTTACAAATACTACTTGAAAAAATACTATACTGTAGCCTGAGGAAGAGTTTTGTTCTGGTTTTGTTCTGGTTTTGCTCTGGTTTTGTCATTTCTGACTTGTTTCTCGTTGTAGTTATTGATTGATTTCGGTTTGGTGGAAAACCCAGGGTCAAAGGTTGCGATACGATGATGTTTTGCGTTTCCTTTGCGATTGATTGCGTAACTTTCAAACAAATGCACAGACAGAAATGTCTGTTGTCTCCTTCATCGACCTGTGACCTCCAGACCTTATAATTATGATCTTATAATTATCATATTTCGAATGCTTAAAGTCCTTGATTTTAAAGGAACCCCAGTCGTCTGCACGTCGTTGCTGCCGTCGTTCACCGTCAGAATAAAAGCACTTGAACGACACACAGGGTGTAAGAATCACAACCTGTGACTTTGACCACAGTACATCAAACATCTGGCAACACTGTAGCTAAAATAATGTTGTCGGCCAATCAGGTTGAAATAAAATGAAACAATAAAAGTTAATAATAAAAGTCCAAAATTTAAATTAAAGTTAATGAAATAATCCAATTTATTTGGGATGGAATCATTTCCTGCAGTACGAAAGCAGAAAAAAAAATACCTCCAAAAAAGTTAGATCACATGCCGTCTTTGGTCATGTGATTAGAAGGGTCTCCTGTGACCCACTCGTGTGTCCCACTCGTGTGTCCCGACCCGCGGTTTGAGAATGACTGCAGTCTGTCCTTCAGTCTGTGAGACCACGGTGGACCTGGTGAAGTCGGAGGTTCTGTGTGAACGCACCCTGAGGTTTTCAGGCACAAATGTGTGTGAGCTCCACAGCTACAACACCGACAACAACAAGCCTCGCCGTCACCATGGCAACAACTGCACCATTGCTAAGGCAACAGCTGCAGAGTGATGATACAACAAGCAGGAAAAACCTTCACGCATTATCAGTTTGGTTACTTCAAACCTTTGTTTTTTTTGTTTTTTTTTTCTGCCTCTGGTCCCACGGCTCCGTTCTGTTTATTTAAAGTCCAATCAAGTGTCTTTTTATAAACGGCTGTCGCTGGGCGGCGATTTTTTTTTTTTTTTTGCGTTTCTCTGTGATGCATATGTAATTCACACTCTCCTAGTTAACACATTTTCTTTCGGTCTAATTCCTAACGTCTCACACACACACACCCCCCCCACTCTCCTCTCTCTCTCTCTCTCTCTCTCGCTCGCCCTCGCTCTCTCTCCCTCACTGTCCCCTCCCTCAGTTCTTCCTCTCCATCCTCTGCTGTTTTGCCGTCTTCTTCTTTCCTCTTTCTTTTCTCATTTTCTTCCCACAGTGTGACCCCCCCTCTTTTCTTTTCTCCCCTCTGCCTCTGTTTTCCATCTCCATCCTCCATCTCCTCCCATATTCACCCCATAATTCCTGTCTTATCCGCTTTCTCACACAACATTTTCCAAGACCACCCTCTCTCTCTCTCTCTCTCTCTCTCTCTCCTCATTCCTCCTCTCCTTCTACTCCTCTCTCCTCTCCTTTTTTTTCCTCCTTCTTTGCTCACTCCCTCTATTTCCCTGTGGCCCTCCCCCTCCCTTTTCATGTGTCCCCCCTCCCTCCATCCTCTCTTCCCCTCGCCGCTTCAGTCAGTCAAAGAAGAGATTCACGGAAGGAGAGAAAAGGGGGGAAAGGCAGGACGAGAGTGAGAGTGGAGCGCAGGAGCGGGGCAGGCTGGGGAGCTGGGGTGCTTGTGGGGTCTCAGCCCTCTGTCGTGGGGGGGTTGGGAGGGTCGAGATACACCCCAGCATTTTGTCTTAAAGTACCATGGACTGCCTCTGCATTGTGACTACAAAGGTAAGCTGAGGTTGATGTTCGATATGTGTGTGTGTGTGTGTGTGTGTGTGTCACAGCTGGCGCTCGTCTTCGTTTTCTCACTTCTTTATAAAAGTGTCACCCAATCAGCTGCCGCCGGTCACTTCTTCTCCTCGGTTTGTCACATTTAAAAAAATTTTTTTTTTTGATTTGTTTTTTCTGTGATGCTCTGACACCTGAGTGGTGTCATCGTTGAAATTTTTTTTTCCCTCCGGCACTTTCCCTCCGTGTCAGTGTACAAACAAACAGAGCTTGGTGGTACCAGAGAGCGGGTGCATGTGGTGCCCGTGTGGGTCTTTGTGTCAGGCTGGAGCTGCGGAATATGTCAGGGAGTGAGATGGAGAGAGAGAGAGAGAGAGAGAGAGAGACAGAGAGAGAGAGAGGAACCATAGGAAGGCGCTGGCTGCATGCTAATCCCCCTCGTATTTTTAGCTTCACTTCACCTCGGCAGCGACTGTGGGCACACGCTGCCTCTGCCTCCCTCAGCCACAGATGTGATATATCACACACTGCATGTGCTCCGTGTGTCGGCGCTCGGCGCTCGGCCCCGGCGCTCTCCGTTCACGCGGTCCTTCTCTGGAAATTGGCTAATAAAAAGGCGGAAATCTGGGTGATTTAATGCGCTCTGACCCCCAGACTCACTCCGGGGTCACAGAGCAGCGTCGGCCGAGACGTCCGCCGTCTGTCCCGAGAAACACACACTTCTCTCACACACATGGACTCACGAACAGGTTGAACGACAGCGGCTGCAGCGGAATTTACTGTCAAATGATGACAATAACACACACACACACAGAAGTGGTAATGAGCAGAAGTGAAGGCAGCTCTTTTTCTTTTTTTTTTCTTTTTTTTTGTTCTTTTCAAATTTCAGTTTTCTTAACTCCAGAACGTTACTTCCACTCACTTAACAACCGCTCATTTCCCTTGGCAACAGAGATTACCGGAGAGTAAACATAGATAAGTAGGCGTCGTCAGACAAACAGGCAGACCCTGGTTCACGCCGCGGAGGTTTTTTGCGTTAAGACAGAGGCGAGTTATGCAACGTGGTTTTACCTTCAGCTCTGAGGTCATCCCGACGGTCCGTGTCTTTGTCAGTTTCAGCTTCTTCGACAGAGTGGTTTTTAAATTTCCGACACGGAGCGTGTGGCTCTTTGTGCTGCTATAGCAACTGCACTTACTTTTAGGAAGAAACTATTCGCTAACTTGTGCGGAGATGATAATTAGGGCCTGAGCAGCGACGACAACGTCTCATCAAGGCATCGGTCGTGAGGAGCCAGGGGTTTGAAAATAGTTCTAGTCTTTCTTCTAAAAAAACAAAACTGTTCACAATAAATTCACAGTCTTTTTCAGATGTCACTTAATTATTTTTTTCTTATTTAAACAACACTTCAGATGGAACATAAATCTCAGGGTCGTCCACGTAAACCCTGATGTCTTTTTCCTCGGACAGTTAAGGCATCACTGGCGTCACTCTTTCTCGTCTTTGTCAGATTGTCGCGTGCTGTTTCTCTGGTTTTAACTAGCTGCTACTGTTGGAACCGATGCTGTGTTTCCCGCCCGATGTGGGCTGCGAGTTTGCGATCCGTAGTGACGTGGATTCACCATGACGTTCTGTGGATTTATTTTATGGTATCTTTGAAAGTTGGTCAGGGTAGTTTGATTTCTTTTTGGGACCGACAAGTCTTGACCACGTTGGGCACCAGAGACGCCCCCTGTAGGGCATTAGTTCACATCCTGTTCTCTACTTCTGAAACGCTTCTGAAATAAGTAAAAACTTAGATCAGTACAATGTTTGGAGTCAAATCCAACAGTAAAGTGTTTTGTTGCATCGAGTTCACAAAAAACCAAAATCGTTGAGATTTTCTCTTGTCATTTATTGGTTGTTTAGCTGCGTTTATGTCACCGCTAAAACTCCACAGAACGGCACAGAAATAATTGTTCCAGCATCTAGTGCCTGCAGGCACGGCTGTCTTTTTATGTAAATACATTTTGTTTATGACAGTAATTTAAAAAAAAGTGGCGAACCGAGTGTTTGATTTCACATTTTCCTCTAATGAGGTAACTTTGGCCCTGACGAGCGTCTGATAATTCCACGAGACACTTTTCTTTGTTTACACGGCGCGTTATGACTGTTCCTCTGCAGGAAAGGAATAAAATAAAAGACTTGAAAATGTCAAGGTGAATGGACGCGTGGGACGTCAACGTCTAGTGCTTCTTGTTTACCCTGAGTCTGACTCAGCCGCTCCACGTCAGCGGAGACGGGGAAGACGCTGGACGTAAAAAGTCCACCATTGGTGGCAGAGGATATTTGACATTAAAAAAAAAAAAAAGAAGAAAAAACTCGCTCCAAAATCCTGCGTTGCTCTCAAAGTGAGACGAGGACTTTGAGTAGAAGCTGGCAGAAGGAAACCTGAGAATTGCCAAGAGATCGTGGGACAGATGGTCGGCTTATGAAAGCCAACGTCAGTGGAATAAAAGTGTGTAAGAAAAATACAGTGACTGAGTTTCAGCCAATGAGACGGCTGGATGTTTTTAAATAGCTGCAACAGTGAGGGTCAACCATCAACTTTGAACGATGGGTAAAAGTATCTTCTGTGGTCTCTCCGTCCGTCCGTCCGTCCGTCTGTTCGTCCTCCGTGTTAGGAGGACACGGTGGACGTTGTCATGGTTGTGTCGACATATATTGGTGTTTCAGCTAGTTATACGACCACTTCCTGTTGGATTCTCCTGTTGGACTCCCTCACCAAATGTTGTGAACCCATGACAAACGTTCTTGTGAAGGACACATTTAATCCAGTTTGGAAAACCTGTGTCTCCGTCGTGTCTGTCATCTCTTCCGGTTTCTGGGGGGGAAAGAAAAATCTGGGAATTTTTCCTCAACCCAGTCGTTCTGAATGTGTCACAAAGCAGGTGATAATAATAACCTCACCCGTCCCACCCTCCCCCACCAGTGGGGTAGCTCCACCCATGCTACCGCTCCTACCTGTGGCGAGGAGCATCACCACCTGACCTATCAGGGCGGCATACGCCCCCGTCTGTCCGATGC